CTCTATTCCCAAGGTTAGGTCGTTTCTTATCTCCATTCCAGGGAGTAAAGATTATGTAGCTTAAGCACGATTGTTCGTAGTTAAAGTGATTAACTACCCACCTGGCACTTAGTTAAGGCGTTTTATTCCCTCCCTAACTTCAGGGGAAAATCCCTACCTGGGGAAACAACCTTTCTCGGAGAGGTGACCTTGGTTAAAACACACAGTGCCAAGAAGGTGAGCAGACATATTAAGAACAGTATGCCATATATGCCAGGTCCCTTGAAACAGCAAGGATGGACCGGCTCCCGGCAGGTTAGGGTGCGGGCAGCTGTTTGAGCCCTGCCCCCAGCCCCAGCCCCAGCAGTGGGGTGCTGGGACACATGCTTCAAACAGCTTTCAGTCAGCCAGCACCGGCGGTGGCCATGGGGCCTCGGAGACAGCACTCTCAGCGTTTGCGCTCTGTCCACAGAACCTCTTTCTCCGGGAGAAGCCGTGGTCAGCACGCCCGGGACCTGCTGTGAGCCCTGAGCACCCTCAGAGCCGGGGCCCGGACCAGGAGCTCGGTCCTGCCAGGCTGCTTCCGCCCCCATGTGCTCCTGGTGGACGTGGTCGCTGTCAGAGCCGTTCCGTCTCCCACAGAACACAAGCTCATGCGGCTGGGCCCTGGTGCCCTCGCCCTCCACTGCGCCCCGTTAGTGCGGTGCTGCCCCGGGGAGCCTGTTAATGTGGGCTGCTCATGGAGGGGCAGGGCTGACGGGCATAGTCCGGGCACCCCTGCAGGGACCGGAAGAGCTGTGCCCCAGGGTCCTTGCCCAGAAATGACCATGACACACTGTTTTTCACCACGTCGAATATCTAGGTTTGTGGCGTGCCGAGTCCCTAACTGTTCCATCTAAATGTTCGCGAGGGCCACATGCAGATAAGGAGGTGCCACAGCCGCGTCTAAGTGCCGAGGCCAGTGCGGCGGTGCGGGAGGCCGTGTGGACACCCAGGCATGGGGAGCAGCGCCCGTGGCTGGCGGTGGCACCGCTCTGTACCGCGTGCTTTCTGGGTCTGAGTCCAGCCAGTGGCAGAGGGGCTGCACTGTCCCCCGAGAGTCGAGGGGAAAGACCCCAAGAGCCTCTCAGTGGTCCCTGGAGACGCCTCTCAGCTTCATCTGCAAGTGAGGGGCTGGGCCAGTGGCAGGATCTGAGGCCACGAGGAGGTCGCTGGCACTGGCGCTGGGCCCAGGAGAAGAG